GGCTGAGGCAGAGAATCAGGTTAATCAGAGAAGGGAGAAATGCAGAAGCAAAGAAAAACATCCAATCATAATAGACACTAGTAGTTTAGTCCATAAGCAAGTTCAAGGCCTTTAGTTTGTCCTCAAAGGTTGTAGACAGTATTCTGAGCCATGTCCCGGAGCTGTCTTATAGACACTGAAGCCCCCAAAATGTGGGCAAGTTAACTACAGGATAACCAGAGTGTAGCCATGATGTAAGTCGTCACAATTCTGAGAACTTGCCTCACAGGAAAAGGGAAAGAAAATGACCCTGAAACTGATGATTGTTGTTGTTGAGTCACTCAGTCGTGTCCTGAGTCTTTTCCAGGCCAGGTACAGTAGCCCACCAGTCTCCTCTCTCCATGGGCTTCTCCAGGCCAGAATACTGGAGTGGGCTGTCATTTCCTCTTCCAGGGACCTTCCTTCTCCAGGGATCAAACCCACAACTCCTGCATTGGCAGGTGGGCTCTTGACCACTGAGTCACTTTGGAAGCCCCATTTTATATCAGTATAGAGCAACAGATTTCAATTCTCATTTTTTTTTACCTCTCTGGGGCAGTTGTCTCCACTATTGTTTTGAATATAGGGCTGAGCAAACTGATTTTTTTTATTTACTGAGTCACCGGTAATTTATAGAGTCTTAGTTTGCTGTAGTGTGTACCCAATGAAGCCGCTAGAATGGCATTGAAACATATATATTATCATAGGTGAAATGAATCGCCAGTCCAGGTTTGATGCATGAGACAGGGTGCACTGGGATGACCCAGAGGGATGGGATGGGGAGGGAGGTGGGAGGGGAGGTTCAGGATGGGGAACAAATGTACACCCATGGCGGATTCATGTCAGTGTATGGCAAAACCAATATAATATTGTGAAGTCATTAGCCTCCAATTAAAATAAATCAATTTATATATATATAAATAAAACACACACTGGATATTTGTTGTGGTCTCTGCCTTTCACTACTGTGATTTGGGGGCTTCTCATTGTGGTGGTTTTCTTGTTGAGTCTCACGAAATATAGAGAAGAAGATTGGTAGTGCTTTGTTGCCCTGCTGCACATGGGATCTTCCAGGGTCAGGGATTCAACCTGTGTCTTCTGCTTTGGCAGGTGGTTTCCCAACCTCTGAGCCCCTAGGGAAGTACCTCTGCTCAGATTTTTTGTTTTATTTTTTGGTTTGGTTTTAATCTTGCTGTCATTTTAAGGCTGGCTTACAAAACTAGACAGCATATTAAAAAGCAGAGACAGTGCCTTGCCAATAAAGGTCCATATAGTCAAAGCCATTGCATTCTGGTAGTGGAATGTGAGGGATGTGAGAGTTGGGAAGGATGTGAGAGTTGGACTATAAAGAAAACCGAGTGCCAGAGAATTGATGTTTTTGAACTGTGGTGTTGGAGAAGACTCTTGAGAGTCCCTTGGACTGCAAGGAGATCCAACCAGTCCATACTAAAGGAAGTCAGTCCTGAATATTCATTGGAAGGACTGATGCTGAAGCTGAAACTCCAATACTGTGGCCACCCAATGGGAAGAACTGACTCATTGGAAAAGACCCTGATGCTTGGAAAGATTGAAGATGGGAGGAGAAGGAGACGACAGAGGATAAAAATGTTGGATGGCATCACCGACTCCATGGACGTGAGTTTGAGCAAGCTCCAGAAGTTGGTGATGGACAGGGACGCCTGGCGAGCTGCAGTCTATGGAGTTGCAAAGAGTCAGACACAACTGAGCAACTAAACTGAACTGAACTGAAATGGACTGAGTCTCTTGTCTGGTCCAGTGGCATGACCATTGTGAGTTCCCACAAGGCTCCTTTGCTCCCCATCATTAGGCACCAGTGAATGACTATTATTTTAAAACACCCCTGATGAGTGACTGAACAGCTATGGATCACTCATCAGCTCCATCGGCAGCAAAGCCACTGCTTCCTGGTTGGAGCTGAACACTGGATGCCGCGAATAAGACACCACATATCCGGTGCCTTGTATCCAACCTCAGTGCTCTTTCTTGAGTAGTTACTGTTCAATTATGTTGTGTGTGTATGTGTGCTCAATCAGTAAATAGTATCTGACTTTTTGAGACCCCATGGACCCCATGGCCTGCAAGGCTCCCCTGTCCATGGGAATCTCCAGGCAAGAATACTGGAGTGGGTTGCCATTCCCTTCTCCAGGGGATCATCCCAACCCAGCGAAGGAAGGGTCCCAGGTGTCCTGTGTGATCTGCTCTGTCAGCATATTCTAAACCAGTGCAACCACCTGGGAAACCCCTGTCACACTGCATTCTGCTAAATCCTTATCATTACCGGCAACCCCACAGCAGATGAGCACTGCTTAATCACAGAATTGAGTTGTTTTTTGATGCCAGTTATGAAAGCACAGGTTCTATTTGAAGTTGTCTGTCTACCAGTCCCATTGCTCACATAACATCTGGTGGGAACCTCATATCCCTGTTTAAAATTAATGAAAGTGAAAGTCGCTCAGTCGTGGTGGACTCTTTGTGACCCCTTGGATTATACAGTCCATGAATTCTCCAGGTCAGAATATTGGAGTGGGTGTACATGGCCTTCTCTGGAGTTTTCCCAACCCAGGGATAAAACCCAGTTTTCCCTCATTGCAGGTGGATTCTTTACCAGCTGAGCCACAAGGGAAGCTCAGAGAAAATTAGCATCTGTGGTTTATTCTCTCTTCTTACCAAGATACTTGCAGTGTTCACACCATGGTATACTCAATTTTCTACATAGTTGGATTTGCATATTTTTAGCATCTGCAAATATGGCATCTTTCTTTATGGACACATATGCGTACTAATCATTTTATTGAACAGTTTAGGAATTCAGTAACATCAGCAAGAGCAGAGGAGATTTGTGGCAGGAAAGCCATGGGGCCAGTATCATGTTTTCCTGGGAGAGAAGAAAGGACAGTTTCAAGGAAAAGGTCTATAATCTTCATATGGATGATTGTGACACATTAGTGATGTGATGCTTCTCATGTTCTTCCTTCATTTTCTTTATTAAACATATGAAAAAATTTAAGAGGTTGTTGAGATGATTAGGATCAACATGATGCTGGTCAGAGAATGAAAGAGAACATAGAAACAGTTACTGGTGGAAGCAGTGAGAAATTCCTCTACAAGAAGACCCATTCCACAGAAGTCCCTTCATGTGACTGCCCTTGGGGTTTGCATAGAATTGCTACTTGGTGTTTATCTAGTAAAGCTATGGTTTTTCCAGTAGTCATGTCTGGGTGTGAGACTTGGAATATAAAGAGGGTTGAGTGCCAATGCATTGAAGCTTTTCAACTGTGGTGTTGAAGAAGACTCTTGGACTGAGATTCCCTTGGACTGCAAGGATATCCAACCAGTACATCCTAATGGAAATTAGTCCTGAATATTCATTGAAAGGGCTGATGCTGCAGCTGAAACTCCAATACTTTGGTCAGTTTATGTGAAGAACTGACTCATTGGAAGGGACCCTGATGCTGGGAAAGATTGAGGTGGGAGGAAAAGGGGATGACAGAGGATGAGATGGTTGGATGGCATCACTGACTCAATGGACATGAATTTGAGTAAACTCCGGGAGTTGGTGATGGACGGGGAGGCCTGGCATGCTGCTGTCCATGGGGTCGCAGAATTGGACATGACTGAACAACTGAACTGAACTGAAATTAGCTGTGAGCCATGTGGTATCAGGTCTTATGATGAGAGTTAGTAAGTTACATATGCACATGTTCGAGATGTAGGGGACTATGTACTGGGTTGCCTGTGCTGCTTACATCTTCTGTAAAACTTCCATACAATCATAAAGATGTGGCTGTGAGATCATTCATTCACACTGGGATTCCCCCAGAGTTCATCATGTTTCACAGTTCAGGGCCTCACACAATCTCCTTTGTCTGCAAAACGTGTCACTCTGGGGTCTAGACCCGCGTGAGTGTTTAGATACTTAAATCCAAACACTAATGGAAGCGCCAGCTTTTGCCACTTGGCAAGGTGGATGATTTTATGATCCTATTTTTTTTTTTTTAAATAAAGTTTTACTGAAATGTAGTTGATGTGCAATATTGTGTTTGCTTCAGGGGCACAGCAGAGTGCTTTATGCATATATTTGTTATTTTTGTTTAACGGCCAAGTCGTGTCCCACTGCTGTGTTCCTATGGGACGTTTCCAGATTCCTCTGTCTTTGACATTTTCTAGGCAACGATTCTGGAGTGGCTGGTCATTACCTATTGCATGACCTGCATCTCCTGCATCAGGAGGCAGATTCTTTATACTGAGCTACCAGGGAAGCCCTCAGTTATACACATATGTATGTAAATATGTACCTTTTTAGATTATTCTCTTTAGGGATTATTACAAGTCACTGAGTATAGATTTCTGTGCTCCACAGCAGATTCTAGTTATTTTATGTTTACTGGTAGGTATCTCTTAAACCTAAACTCCCAATTCGTCCCTCCCCCCAGTTAATCACTTTGGTAACCACATTTTGTTTTCTGTGTCTTGAGTCTGTTTCTGTTTTGTAAATAGTTCATTTGTGTCGTATTTAGCATTCCCCATGTAAGGGATATCATACGATATGTGTCTTTCTCTTTGTTTCTTATCGATTATCTCTGGGTCCATCCACGTTGCTGCAAATGGCATTATTTCAGTCTTTGTCATGGTTGAGTAATAGCCAATTGTGTATATAGCCCATTCTTAAAGCAGTATGCCCCCCGGGGGGTGGGGGTGGGGAGCCTTAACCTACTAAAGAAGACTCAGTGTTGTTAGGTATCGTGTTTCTACTCACCCAACGGAGGTCCTCAGTTCTTATTTAGGACAGTTGTCTGTGAAAAAGAATGAATAAGGGCACAAATGATCATTGATATGCCTCTACTTCAAATAATTATTTCATAACAACCTGCATGAAAGATTACTGAGGGAGCAGGAAATTTGAATCAAGTATCCTCGTGACGTGTTTTCATTTCTGATACCCGCTGTCCTCAGGGCCTTACCTGTTTGGGCGCCATCTTCTATATTTTCATTTGGAATACCCCTTTCGTTGTTCATTTCCTCGTACTTCTGAATATCTTCTTGACTCAAACTATCTCCTTTGCCTGGATTTCATAGCAAATAAGACAGAAGAGGTGTGCATCAGAATCCTTCATTGGTTACCGAGTGTCCCCCGGCTCGTATCTGTAGTGTCCAGTAAGTCTCAGCACGAGCACTTCCCTCCTCCATCACCTAAACCCTGCTCACCAGGGAATTTTCTACAGAGGTGCCCATGTGTGCATACAGGTCTTCAGATGGGTCCATGTGAGTAGACCCCACATAGTTTCCATTTTCTTACATTCCAGTTCTCACAACTACTGAGAGAACTGCAGACCATTCACCTGTGAGCTTCAGCAGCCCCGAGACAGTGCTGTCTCTAGTGGAACATGCGAGAAGGTCATGGTGGAGTTAGAAACTCAAAATTCCTCCCAACACTACCTGTTCCTGTCCACTTTGTCTACATCCTAGAGTGGCGTCCCTGGGGTTTTCATGATCTCCAGTCAAAGGAGTGGTTCGATAGCACCACTAACTCAATGAGCATAAGTTTGAACAAACTCTGGGACAGAGTGGAAGACCAAGGAGCCTGGCGTGCTACAATCCATGAGGTCACAGAGTCAGGCAGAACTTAGTGACTGAGCAACAATATTCACAAAATGAGGGAGAAATGATTTGAACATTCACCAAGCACTAATCTCATCACACATGCTACTAAGGGGAAAATCTCAGGCTTTGTCATCCTCAGACACCAGACACTCCCCCTGCCCGGTCCCAACGTGGATTCAATATCAGAAAGGGTAAAGGGACCAGGCAGTTTCCCTGTGGGGTTGGCCACTTGGCACATGATTCACATGCCTGACCACATGCCTCTGAAGGATTAAATAGGATACAGTGTTGGTTTTTTTTTTTTTTTTTTTTTTTTTTGCAGAGCTCTTGGTTCAGTTCTCAGAATTTATTTTAATGATCATGACAAAGAAAAAAAAACATTTGTGTTGGAGATGAATGCATTCATGTTCGGAAACTGTGAGTTGCCTGAACCAATTAAAACCTTGGTTCACTTTGGTGTCAGAATCTGGCAGCTCCAATATGTGATATTTGTCAAGAATCCCCTGAACCATCCTGGAACATTTCATTGTACCTCCATTATAAGTGTATCCAATTTTTTAAAAAGCCACATGGTAGAATCGCCAGTGGATACGTTTGTCCAGTTTCCTAGTAGACAACCTTTGGGTGCAGCCGTGACTCATGTCACATGAAGTCTCAGTTCTCCCATGTGAATACATGTCTGCTTCAGGGTGCTTAATAAAAGATATGGTGCATAATGTCTTCTTTCCTCAATACAAAAATACTGATAATATGAACATGACCAGTTTCCATAGAATCAGTTACAGTACCTACCCAGGGCATAAGTTGCTTTTGTGGTCTTCTCTCCATCAAAGTTTTCAGCATCAAATACCAACATGCTTTCTGATACACGGATCAGTTGCAGAGAACTTTCACCCATGACTGTGACAGAAAAACAGAAATTCAAACCTCAAAACAATTAACTTCTTTCCTTTTCATTTGGGTATCTCTTATTCTTCACATATTATTGGCAGTATTCCCTCTGATGGCCACTTTTGTCCCATTGATATTTATAGAGGGTGTGTTGTTAGAAACAGTTAAGACAGCTAGTGAGTAGGAAAGCTTTCTCCACATGACTCTCTTCTGAACATAGTAAAGACTTCTAGTCTTCTGGACTGAACTGCTCTCAACAATATTTAGTAAGTTGAATAGTGCAACTATAGTAGGTGGTGGACCTGAACCATCTCATACCAGCTCATAGGAGCTTACTGGTAAAGAGCTTACTATATTACCTTTTCAGGAATTCTGTGGCCGAATTTACATGTACAGTCCTGATTACAAAGGTATTCTCTAAATTTAAGCAAATAATGTTAAAATAAATGTTAATAGATAAACTTGTTATTTTCTAGTACAGAGGGTGGCAAAAGAGCTAGAAATGAGGTGATTGCCAAATGCTGGAGATATATTCTCTGAAATGTTTCTTATTTAGTTCCATTGGGTACATGTCCACATAGGAAATTTAAAAACATGCAGCAGGCCAAGTTAGAATGCACCATTGCACAGTTTCTCCTTGATAATCAAATATGTTGACTTTTAATCACTCAATGTTATGGTATTGGTATATGAGAATTCTTTCCAGTATTGCAAACAATAGAGATAATTATGTCTTAGTCTTCTTTTGTTTTCTAAATACATAAACATTATTTTGAAATTTCTGTGTTAATTTAACTATCCTCATACTTTTCTGTGGGATTTAAATTAATCAGGTTCTACTTCTTCATCAGGTCAGTAAAGAACTTTTAATATTTAAAGAATTTCTTTAGTTAAAGCAATTTTGATTTTGGAAGCTTACATAAGTGGCTTCCCAGGGGTCTTAGCTGTAAAGAATCTGCCTGCCAGTGCTGGAGGTGCCTGAGATATGCCTTTGATCCCCAGGTCAGGAATATCCCTGGAGGAGGAAATGGCAAACCACTCCAGTACACTTGCCTGGAGAATCCCATGAACAGAAGAACCTATAGCCTATAGCCCATGGGGTCATTCAGAGTCAAGACTGAGCATCTGAGCACAGACACATTCATGTCAAATACAAGAAAATAACTTTTTAATGGATTGTTGCAATCTTAGATAGCTGTATGCACTTCCCCATGTCCGAGGAACATGGGGAATCTGTATTCTGGGACTTTTTCTCAGATGCCATTGATGGCACCTTCCAAATTGGACCTTATCCTAGTTTTCTGGTGCAGAATTAATGCCTGAAAAATTTAATGTCTTTCCTAAGTTGGTATTTGTAATGAGTAGAGAAAATAGTACACAAGTCCAGACATCTAGTTGTCTTAGATGGAGCCAAAACCATTCTTCTGAACATGGTCCATTGTTTTGGGCTTTCCTGGTGGCTCAGAATCTGCCTGCAATGCCAGAGACCTGGCTTTTGTCCTTCGGTTGGCAAGATCCCCTAGAGAAGGAAATGACTACCCTCTCCTTGAGTCCCTGGGACTGCAAGGAGATCAAACTAGTCAATTCTCTAGGAAACCAACCCTCAATATTCCTCGGAAGGACTGATTCTGAAGTTGAAGCTCCCATTTCTTGGCCACCTGATGGCTGATTCATTGGAAAAGACCCTGATGAGGGAATGATTGAGGAGAGAAAGTGAAGGGGATGACAGAGGCTGAGATGGTTGGATGGCATGGCCAACTCAATGGACATGAGTCTGAGCAAACTCTGGGAGTTGATGATGGACAGTGAGGCCTGCCATCCTGCAGTCCGTGGGGTCACAAAGAGTCACACACAACTTGGTGACTCAAACTTGAGTAGACACACTTATTGACAAAGCTCAACTACTCACAATCTATGCGGTAAACATTTCCTTCTGCCCGCTGTGCCACGGCTGTGATTAACGTGCAACTATCATAATTCCTGAAAAACAGACAAACAAGACAGTCCTTCCTCACCATCCATTCCCCAGCGCTGGAGGTCACCCTTCCATGAACAGGGTTCACCCACTCATCTTCACTTGCCTTACCCCCACCTTTCACTGCCCGTTGGAGACCGAACCCCATGATAGAATGCACCAATCTTGTTGTTTTCAGTTGGGGCAGATTGTGCTTACGTGAGAAATACAGTAATGGACAGTTTTTCACAGTTGTCAATGCATTCCAATCGGCGGAAGTATGTCCGCAGTGGGCCTCCTTCTTCAATCTTCTCCTTGTTGTCTGCAGCCATGTAAATGGTGTACCATTCTCCTGTAATCTAACAAGGAAGGTCTCCATAATCATCAGTCAATCTCATTACATGTTTTTCACCAACACCCAGCACAATCTTTGCTTCTGCCTTTACCTCAGAAGAGAAATAAAGTCAATCTTAAAGCAAAGTAGTGTTCTACCTCCTGAATATCGTGAAATGAAATAATGATTCATATTCAAGCAGAAAGGATAGAATTCAGAGCTTCTTGAAGTAGATTAAACAACACCATTAAAACCATGACAGTTCATAACTCCCTAAATGATAGCATATTAACATGGCTGTTTTTTGCCTCACACACAGACAAATAAGATGAGAAAAAAATACAAAGAGCAGGAAAATAATGAGTTGTATTATGCTCCTGTAAATATGTGTATCACAGTGTGTGTGTATATAAATATTCACTTACACAAGCTGGTCATCCATGTAAGCAAGACTGTTTCTTGCTGTCACACTCACTCACGCACTCACAGAACCAAGACCTTCTCCCAGATCAGCAGAATTTGGGTACCTCTGACGCTTCTGGACTAGCTGGAGCTTCCTGGACAGCAAAAACCAGACCAAGGAGAAGAGTCAGGAACACAGCCTTCATCTTGTGAGTCTAGTGATTCTTCCTCTAGTTAAGCTGTGGGTGTCCCAGTTGTTGGAGAGGTTGTGAATTGTTTCTGCTTTTTATAGGATACATCTCTTGGCAGAATACATAATGATCAAACAGTGATTAATCAGAAAATCTTGGTGTCAAATGTATCATCTGATATCCTGGTTAGCAGCTGAGCTTTTCCCGCAATCTGTGGTTTTTATAAATGGATTAATTTTAAGAGAAGCATAAATAAATTTGAACATTTGGCCTTCAGACTAGATGAGAAATCACAGCATATATGAAGTATTTCAAGCACAGTGATATTTATATTCTTTTGTATCTTCAGATTCTAAAATAGGACAAACAGTCCTAGACACAGAGCCCCAACTCCTGTGTTATTGATTTAGCCCTGAGGCAGTCAGTTTAAGCTTCTTTTCTAAAACTAGAGATGGTATAGTCTGATGTGCTCTAGTCATTCAGTTGTGTCCGACTCTGCACCCCTTGGACTGTAGCCCACCAGGCTCCTATGTCCACGGGATTTCCATGGCAAGACTACAGGATTGAGTTGCCGTTTCTTTCTCCAAGGGATCTTCCTGACCAAGAATTGAACCCCAGTCCCATATGTGCAGGCTGTCTCTTGTATTGCAGGCAGATTCATTCCTAACTGAGCCATGAGTGAAGCCCCCGTCTGGTGTAAGGAGATTAATATGCGGCATCTGTCCCAGGAGTCGCTTATGACGGCATTTCTCAGAGCAGTCTCTATTTTTTATTTTGCAATTGAAGTATTAGTTGATGTACAGTTAGTCCAGTGACTCAGTCATGCCAGTTCTTTGCAGTGCCATGGACTGCAGCATGCCATGCTTCGCTGTCCATCACTGACTCCTGTAGCTTGCTTAAACTCATGTCCATGGAGTCGGTGATGCCATCCAACTATCTCATCCTCTGTCATCCCCTTCTCATCCTGCCTTCAAACTTCCCCAGCATCAGGGTCTTTTGCAATGTTGAAGGGGCATTATTATATCATTATAGATGTACCGTATAGTGATTCATAATTTTTATATAGTCCATGTATAGCTATGAGAATATTGGCTTCATTGCCTATGTTTTGCAATATCATCTTGTACATTATTTATTTTATACATAGTAGCTGACACCTCTTTCTCCCCTTCTGTTACCTTACTCCAATCCCGTTCACTCTCCACAGTAGTAACCACTGGTTTCTTGTGTGTATCTCTCGGTTTGCTGCTGCTGCTGCTAACACGCTTCAGTCGTGTCCGACTCTGTGCGCCCCCATAGATGGTAGCCTATCAAGCTCCCCCATCCCTGAGATTCTCCAGGCAAGAATACTGGAATGGGTTGCCATTTCCTTCTCCCATGCCTGAAAGTGAAAAATGAAACTGAAGTTTCTCAATCGTGCGTGTCCGGCTCTTAGCGACCCCATGGACTGCAGCCAAGCAGTCTCTGTCCATGGGATTTTCCAGGCAAGAGTACTGGAGTAGGGTGCCATTGCCTTCTCCAAAGTCCATGAAAAGAGACAAAGAGGGATACTACATAATGATCAAAGGATCAATCGAGGAAGAAGATATAACATTGCTAAATATATATGTACCCAACATAGGAGCAACGCAAATGTAAGGCAAATGCTAACATGTATGAAAGAAGAAATTAACAGTAACACAATAATACTGGGAGACTTTAATACCCCACTCACACCTATGGATAGATCAGCTAAACAGAAAATTGGCAAGGAAACACAAACTTTAACTGATACAATGGACCAGTTAGACCTAATTGATATCTATGGGGCATTTCACCCTGAAACAGTGATTTTCACCTTTTTCTCAGTTGGACACAAAACCTTCACCAGGATAGATCGCATCCTGGGCCAGAAATCTAGTCTTGGTAAATTCAAAAATTTTGAAATCATTGGAAGCTTCTTTTCTGTTCATAATGTGTTAAGATTAGATGTCAACTACAGGGAAAAAAACTATTAAAAATACAAACCTATGGAGGCTAAACAGTACACTTCTGAATAACCAACAAATCACAGAAGAAATCAAAAAGGAAATCAAAATATGCATAGAACTGAATGAACATGAAAACACAACTACCCAAAACCTATGGG